AACATACCCTTTGCAAATATTACAAAAGTATTTAAACAAACAATTATCCATTATATACTTCGTAGCGAAATTAAAGAAAAAAAGGCAATTTCTAGATTATACATATTTTCTTCAAAGGTATTGTAATGATAATAAGACGAATTATCTATCACTAACATAAATTTTCTTTTCCTTTATGCCTATATATTATTCCACTATTCTCTGAATAATTTCAAATGGAATGTACATATAGCAATTAGACGAACCGTTTGTGGTTCGGCATGTACCATCGCTACCATTGTTTTGTAACTTACAGTTACTCTAATGACACGTTACATGTGCATTTATGTCACTTTCGTCCTTAGATTAATCGACTAGGAAATTTTCTTGGTTCCTTGAACACACTTTCACCACAAATAATACAGAAAGCACAATATCATTGTAAACAATATAACTGATTAATTACACAATAGAATACTATTTTAAAAGAAACATCAAATAAAAGCAAAGTTTGTTAGAAAAAATGTGAGATACTATTTCACAAGAAACAGTCTCTTTGCAAATACTTTCGTGGAAGTTATTAAAAATGAGTGTTAGTAATATTTTAATTTATTTGAAGTGTAGTTGTAATAATAGAATTTTTATACACTTTTATGCAACTCAATTACAATTGATGAATCAACAAAACTGAATAAAATATCACGTTTCTAGAACATAGCTTTAGTTAGTAGCTCGAATTTAGTATATATTCCTCAAAGTGATTCGAAATTATTACATCTGATTGAACACAAAAAATGAACAAATATTGACATGATTATTTAACAAATTTTTACTAAACGTCTACTTAATACAACGTTAGAGACCTACAATGTATTAGATATTTTATCAATTCATCAATGTATGATACATTTTAAGACTTTTTCAAGCAACGTGTTATTTAAATAAGTATGGCATTCATAAATGTGTTATTTAAATAAGTATGGCATTCATAAAAGTGGCAAAAGCTATAGTGTCACATTATACTAAGAAGTGTATAATATATAATTAATGAAACTCCACAATAAGCCAATTCAAAATATTCCAATTCTCATTTACAAAACAATAGTCAATCTTTCAGATATTATGAATATGCAAATTTTTTAAAATTTGCGTCACAAAATATATAATAAATATACAAAACCGATTTCACGCGCTATGGATAACATTGGAACTGTACAAAGGGAATGCAATTCCGTTTCTTTGATAACAGGAATCAGGATCGATTCTTGGCTTATTATTATATATAGGCAAACTAGAAAATCACCGAGGATGCTAAAATATAGGAATTTTCCATTGATGTCATGAATTTATTTAAAGCCATTAGAATGTATCATTATAAAAAAGGAAAGTAAATTTATTCAGATACTGCATTTTTAATTTGCTTTGTTATAATAAATATTACAATATACAAATATAAAGTTGAATAATTTTTGTTTAATATAGCAAAATTTAGTTTTATTGAATTTTTATCAATTAACTGTTTTTAATATTTGGGGGTATAATAATTTCAAATATTGATCATAAACTATCATAAACTATTGACGATCAGATCAAGGCTATATTAACTGAAAAAATATAGAAAGCAAAAAAAGCAGTCATACCTGTCAAACTTACAAACAATTACCCAACTATCAATGTCAGATATCACAAAGTTTGCACTTTCAAAGTTTCTTATCTGACAGAAGTCGTAGGAAAAATTAATCAAAAGAAAAATATTGTTTCCACGCAAACTTCCGTAACCGTGTTATTCGTCTTTTTGGAGATAGTACGTGTTTTCACTCTGCTAACTCTGCGGCTTCCAGTCCAACAGGCGACAATTTTATCTTCATGGTAGATATGTCATCGATAACATGGCGGAGTCTAACGAATAGTATTCCGTCCCGATGTAATTCTCTTGAACATTGGGATCAAGGATAACAAAGTAACGGAGATGTATCGGTTCGAAAAATTATAGCTAGTGTTATGGAACGGTATATGTAACTGGCAAGGAATAAACGAAGATACTGCTTATTCTTAAACGTAAAATACGGTTTCGCAAATGGACTAGGGTGAACGTGCTCTCGATGCTTCATCACCGAGTGAAGAAACCTTTGGTTGGACATATTCACGTTGACATATTGCGACGTCAATCGCGTAATTGTGGCCGATCATAACCTTTATTTCGTTCACGATGAAAAGTTGCGAGGGAAGGATGGATATACAAAAAAGTTTAACTAGCAATGGCAACATATCTGATAAAGAAGCGAAGGTATTGTACATATTTACGTAGATATGACAATCACATACATAAATATCATACTCAATTTGCTTCTTATTTACAAAGAAATGAAAATAAATTGCAATAATTATAACAAACGTATTGTAATATCGGGAATAAAATATTATTATTGATGATGATTTATTTACAATAAATGTGTGGCGGATCGGTATCAACAGGATGCCGACAGGTCGAGGCATCAATGCGGCGCAACACCTCCCGGGCGGTCCGCTGGTACCAACCGCCAACACTAGAGGGCTACGACGACAACGAGTCTATCTAACTCGCTAGCGGTCGAATATACGAGCGATTGATACAAATGCCGCGCCTAGCGAGACTCCCTCTACGTCTAAGGCAGGGACTACTGGGCATAGCCTTACTGACGAGTCCACCGGTAGTCCCGGGACGAAACGCACAACTCCACGTCTCTCTTTTCATACGTCACATTGGTGACCACCGACAACGAACACGCACCTTTGGAGAAGGAGTCAGAGAAAAAGGAGCCAACCACCGACGACGAACAACACGCCAAGCAGGTGACCGGGTACGAGACGACGACCAAGCCAGGAAGTGATGTAGCCGTTGCAATAGTTCATGGGCATCACCTTCAGCAGCACGTCAGAGAAGGAGATACAACCATCTCGTCCCCACGACGATCAGCAGCCTTCCATCATCGACGACGAGCCATTCCCTCTAACTTGTATCGCGCTGTATAGCTTCGGGGTCACGCTATAGCGCTAGGGGGAGGCTGTGTGGCGGATCGGTATCAACAGGATGCCGACAGATCGAGGCATCAATGCGGCGCCAACACCTCCCGGGCGGTCCGCTGGTACCAACCGCCAACACTAGAGGGCTACGACGACAACGAGTCTATCGGTCTAACTCGCTAGCGGTCGAATATACGAGCGATTGATACAAATGCCGCGCCTAGCGAGACTCCCTCTACGTCTAAGGCAGGGACTACCCGGCATAGCCTTACTGACGATACCGGGTATAGCCTTACTGACGAGTCCACCGGTAGTCCCGGGACGAAACGCACGACTCTTTTTTCAGCCGCCACAAATGGATTGCACAGAAGAACGATGGTTGTTTAACGTGAACTAATCACAATAACGTGTTATAATCTAGACAGCTCAATAGTTAATTTGCAACTCTCGACACAACGGATCCAACGCTCTCTTTCTCTTACGCGAACCATACTCTCACGACAACACTAGCAACACTATCTCGACAACGCAACTCGCACTCTCTGACTTCTCGATTCACACTCTCTGGCTTCTCCACTGACACTGACTGTTCTAGCATCCCTTTGTCTTTTCTTAGGCCCACCACGCACGTGTTCCACACACTCGTGGCCAGAGTCACGTAGGCCTTTTCTACGAAACTATTCAATTGAACCGACGACTCTTTGATGGGCCCGACGGCGCCTCAGCTCTCGCGACATTTTTTATGGTTTACCCAACATTTCTTAGGCCTTTTTGTCCACCATATTGCAGTATTAAAAAACGTGTTTTGTAATAATTTATATCTCGATTATATTGATGTATGGAAGATATCTTATATGAATAATTGTTGAGAAAATTTAAGTTGGCATGATCGCTAGTTACTACAAGCTAAGTTGGTACGACTTCTAACGACGCTCTTTTGTCTTAGAAGTCGACCACGTGTTAATAGACTAAGTGTATCCTGTGTGTTAAGACGTGTCGTACGAGGCGGAGAAATATAGAGAGAAAAATCGAATCTGTGTGAATCGATTAATTATCAACCCCAAACCTACATCAATTAACAATAATTGTATGGCATCATTAGATTTTCAAGCTTTTTCCTTTCTTCTGTTACGAGTCGGATCTCGAGAGACCGGCGAGAATATTTTGTGGTAATACGGTCACAGTGTATTAGCAAGTATACAGACGAACCCGAAGCGAAATCAGGGAACTGATAAGATTATTGCCAAGACAAACCTGATGCGTAATCAACGAACCTCTAGGATGGAATCAATTGGGGACGAATTTGATGCCAAATCAGGCAGCCGCAGGTGAAGTTACGTGAATTACGAGCTACTCCTAGAGGCTACTACGAGATTGAAAGATAGCACAGACGAACCCGACGCAAAGCCAGGGAGCTGTCGAGAAGTTGGAGAAAGTACAGGTAAACCTGATGCGAAGTCAGGGAGCTGCAGGATGCGAACTAACCTGATGCGAAAACAAGGAGACACAGTAAATGTAAATAACATCTCATAATTTGATCAATAAAAACCGACGTGATTCGAATGGTAAAATTGTATCGTGTGTATACGTTCAACTATATTGTACAGGATTGCAGGCTTGATTGTTAGACTTTAAATAATTAGCCTCGAATTTATGCGAGAACACAGGTATAGGTCCCGTATCGAAATCAGAAGATTGTTACAAGTGTATGTGTCGCGAATAAATGAGTGTGACTGTATATTATCGTAGTGTTTTGTTGCACGATTTTGACGCATTGGCAATGCGCTCAATTAAGAGTTACTTGACAAGTTGCCGAACAGAATTTACAGCATCTCTTAGATTCCAAGGGGCTAACGTTGATCGTGTGACATCAATCACATCTCAGTCCACATCAGAGATAGGATATGGACCCCCGACCTTCGGACACTTTTCTACATCATAACCTACACCTAGCCCCTCAACATCCTAAAACCAAAACGTATATAATCTGAGACTTCACCCAGCTCGGGCAGTACTTGTTCTCGTTCTAGTTGCTGTTCTTGTACAACACACCTTTCTCTGTTCAACGTTATTCTACTGTAAGTGCCAAAGTCATAATAAAGTTCGATAAAAGAGAATTAATAGTTGGGCTACGACTCAGCTTTCTTTTCTCTCGCAACCCAGGTATCCATTTTACGTGACAATCGAATGGAAACGTTAGTCCGATCTCACTATACTGGCTCTTAATGTGCGCAATGTAATGCAGCATGGTGACATTTTTCGCAATGTTCTGTCCTGATAACGGGTGCCTTGTACACTGTGAAAATCTCGAAATTGTAAAGGGTAGAAATGGATCAAGAAGTTTATCGTACGCATATAGAAAATGTAACCCCAAATGACATTTCAGCATAATCGCAGCTGTGTCATTGCTTATATAAATATTTTAGAATAACAGGGTTTCTGTTTGCGTTACAAAGAGGCCGGCAGCTGGAGACCGATGTTCCCCATCCGTAATGCTCCTTTTTATGCTTTGCAAGTTCATTACTTAACATGTAACTTTTAAATCTGTCGCTATTGAAAATATTCAGCATGTATTAGGTTGTCCCCAAAGTTTCTTTCGTTTTATAAGGAAATAATAGATGCACAACGTTTTTTGTTTTATATTATTTTATTGAATTATGTATGCTTCATTTTGTTTTATTGGAACATGTATTATTTCCTTGTAAAACGGAAGAAACATTTGGCACCACATAATAATTCTATTCATTTAATGAAAATATCTTATGGTAATACGTACATTGTAACAGCACATTTTTACGTTCCATTTTTCCTACTTTTCATTTCTTGGAAATTAATTACTTAAAATATAATTCTTAAATATTTTTCTGTTGAAAATATTGCGTGTATGTTTTGTGATAATTTATATCTACATTTCACTAAAGTAAGATAATGTCTTATTTTAATTAAATTGTATCGCCAGATGTTTACGTTCCTCTTATTTTGCCTTTCATTTCTTACAAATTAACTGTACTTGAAATATGTCTCTTAAATGTGTATCTTTCTGGTGAAAATATTTTATATATGTTTTGTAAAAATTTATATTTTTACTTTATTCAAAAAAATAATTTTGTTTCAATATTTTCATTGCAACACTAGCTTTCCTATTACACAACATTTTCTTCACTCTTTTTCAATTTTTGGCACATTAATTTAGAAATATCCCATAAACATTCTTCTGTCATTTCATCTTTAATTTTTTTGCCCTATTCATATTGACAATACAGCTACACTTCCGTATCCGCTAGAAATAATTCAAAACTACATCTTTGCGGATGGTTGAAGCCGCGAATATACATATACAAGTATACTGTATATGATATATATATCTGATATAGTTTAACACTGTGGTGGCAAACTGGGTCGGTAACGATCCTAACATTTTACGCTTCAATTCCTTTCTTCCGAATTTTCATTTTTATCAAAGAAAGTTTGGCTTGACGCCAAAAAATATAAAATATACCGCAATACATATAAATATAACGATAAGTAGACTGTGAATTTTATGCATTCATGGGAAATTTAAATGTGTAAAAATGTACAAAGTATCTATACATAATATAAAAATATATAAATAATGAAAGTAAAATACTTATCACAATAATGAACAATGAAACAAATCTCTATGTAGGTTCCATTCCTTTAGTTGTAAACATAAAAGATATATATTTATATAAACATCCGTTTAATGATAAATATCTCAGTTCGCTTACAGAGTGTAAAGAAATATGTTTGCCTATAAAAAATTAATATAAAAATATTATCAGTAGAAATGTAAATTAATGATAAATACGCCGATCAAAAACAGAGAGTTATTTTCACGTGACTTTTAAATCCATTGTTTGCAACTGTACATTTTGATCGTCTTAAAATATTTTGTGATTGTTTTTAAGTCAATCCTTATCATAGCATTGTATAGATCGAATATCAATCTATCATACTTATAGGAATCCCTCGTTTCTATTCATTCAGTTGTTGTAATAGAATCATAAATAATAAAATCCCGTAAATATTTTAAGCAGTGTATTAATAATAGCAGCGACGATGTGTGATTGTGCCAGGTCGATTGATCAACTGAAGCAACGTCGTGTGTGGGTCCATTTTTGCCGAACCGAGATTGCGATGTACTAGCGTGTTTTAACGAATGCATTGATACTTGGTGCGGCAAAGTTATCCGGTTCGAAGTAGCACAAAATACTGTTTGCAGTGCGAGAGGTCGTTCACGCAAACTGTTACTCAATTGCTTCAAAGTGCAACTTAATGCAATAGAGTTTCCTTAAAACTTCATGTGTAGACTATAAATTATGGATCTTGAAGATATCTATGCTGTAATAATAATGTAAGAAATTTATTTTGATATGTAATGATAAAAAAAGGAGTAATGATAATTTATATCAGTATATAATGCTGTGGCATACGTACAGCAGTATTTGCATAATAAACATATTTATACGTGACGTGATGTTACCTATTCACACTTTGACTCGGAGGTATTAAAGTTGTCACGTATCAAATTGTCTCTAAACAGTTCGTATATCAAAATTTGTATGAAAATATTGTTGTTACTTCTATACTCAGAGGTAGGGTCACAATAGTTATTATTTTATTGAATGGATAAATCTATCATACTGTTGTGAGCCAAAAAAACCTTTGATGCAAGTTCTTACAAAAACTAGGGATAAAAACAAAAAAGCATCTAAGCCTATCGATTAAATCTATCGATTGTAACTAGGATTATCTTCTAGTTACTATTATAACTAACGCAACTGCATATAGATGGCGAGCACGAACTCACGTTGTCATTTTCAACAAATATATATAAAGTGCAAATGTTCTGTGAGATATTCAAGTTCTCACGAAGTTAAATATTTTCTTTACACGAATAGATCCACAGATATTAAATGTAATAAATTCTTAAATAATAGATATTATCAAAGTGAATTGTATGAATGAAATAGTAATAAAAAAACATATCAGAGAAATATGTGGAATATTCAAAACATATTATTTGGCTCTTTTCATCGTGAACAAAATGAAGTTGATATTACATAGATATTAAATTTACATAAAAATTCTCTCGTAAGTACTTAATAGAAATTATGTTGTCTCGTTCCCTTGTGAATTATCCATTTGTATAGGACTGGATTAAAGAAAATATGTATATTTTTAAATAATTTTGTTGATATCTACTGACAAACATAAAAAATTTAATTTAAGTGTGGATATAACAAAAGAGAACAAAAATTATACGTTGATTAGAATTTTTGAATGAATTACAAGCGAATAATGTTTAATCCCTTGGAATAAAGGATGAAGACGATAATTATACACGTTGCACATTAATTTGTCGTTCGTCTGTAGCATTTAAATCAAGCAATGAAGCGAAAAACTGCAGAAGAATAGGCCATCTACATATGTACAATACATATTTCACATTAATATACTTTCATAGCAGAAGAATATATATGTCGGAGATGAAAGAACACCGGAGCCTTTGAAATTTTGGATAATCCCGCAACATTGTAACCTAGAGTCTACTATAGCTGTAATTGAACAATTGTAGTTATTCAATCCGATTGTAATTGTTCGAGAGTTGTGATAATGAGCTTGGGCTCGAGGCGACAGTCAGTCGCCGAACGTAGCCGCGGTCACGGGATGAACGCTTTGTCTAACAAAGGTATGGAGTAATTCTATAGCTCTCCTTAAAAGAAATATTCGTGGCGACACGCGACAGTAAACATTCCAACGGTTTCT